AGTTATTCTTAAAAATAATTTAAAATTTTTGTAAAAAATATTTCGATAAGTGAAAAATTGAAATCATGTAATTAACACCAGTTTTAAGAGATATAAATTAAGATAGAACAAAATTTAATTATTTTTAACATAGATGAGTGAAAATAGTGAGTCATGATATTCTTTGGTTTAGGGTTTGCCAATATATGTTGTAGTATTGTATGTGTTTCTTAGGGTTAGATTTTCGAAAGCATAAATGTTTTTTAAAAAAATTTAAAATTTACCTAAGTGTGTTTATTTCTGTGTATAGTAAACACTATTTAAGTATAATTTGATTTTATAACGTGGTTAGTTAGTTAATTTGTCAATTTAGTTTAGGGTTTAGGGTTTAGGATCTGGACGACTTATAATTAAGTCGTCTGGTAAATATACTTAAGGCAGACGACTTAGTCGGATGTATAGTATCAACAGACGACTTAGTCGGATGTATAGTATCAACAGACGACTTAATTATAAGTCGTCCAAACCGGATTTTACCAAATTACTTTTAAACCTAACCGGATTTTTTACCGGACATATATAAGATGTTTTTTTTTACTTTATTTTTCATGAAATTCGAAAAACCCTAACGCCGCTTCTCTCAAAGGTGATTTCAAAGGCGATTTTCGTCGAATCTCTCTAATCCATCGTTTTGAACGCCGGTTTTCTCTTCGCCTTACCATCATCGTTATCACCACAGTTCTTACCGCCGCTTTTTGTATTTCCGATCTGCGAGGAAACCCTAGCGCCGTTTTTCTGTAAACAATAGCGCCGTTTCTCTTAGACGCGTTTTGTTGAACTCTGCTGCTGGTAAGTTCTAAATAAGAACACAAAACATTGTTCTCACCGTCGTTCTCACCGCGCTTCTTTTTTTTCACGTCTATTTTTACAGTTCTATAACCGCTATGTCGAAGGCGACTATATCTTCTCCGAATTTTCAAGTCAGCTTTCAAATGTTCTACTGGAAGTCTTGGTAGACTTATAATTAAGTCGGCTGGAAAGTCTTCCACCTGGAAGACTTTCCAGACAAATTAATATAAGTCTTTCAACTAGAAGACTTGGCAGACGACTTAATTATAAGTCGTCTGGAAAGTCTTCCAGACTTATAATTAAAATGTTATACTGGATGGTTGTGTGTTTGAGATGGTTTTCTTTGATTTTTTTGCAGAAAAAATGGATATTCCAGAACTCCCTCGTAGGATACATACACTAGGGCAAGAGCCTGACGAAGTGCATAGCATTTCGTATCATCCGTGTACGAAGTTGTATATTGCTCTAAGGAATGCTCTTAATGATGACGAATATGAAGAGCTGAAGGAGTCTAAGTTGGGAGTTTTCATCAAGTTCCAAAAGCTGGAATTTGAATGGGCTTCAAGGCTGGTTCACTATATGCTCGGTTTCCAGCTCGACATAAAGAAGAAGTATGAGCTGTGGAGTCTTGCTGGTCCACAACCTTTGAGGTTTTCATTGTTAGAGTTTGAATACCTCACTAGTCTAAACTGCGAGTACATAGAGGACCTTGAGAGACCAAACTGTTTTGTTACAAAGGAGTTGGTTGCTTTCTGGGAGTTGTTGGGAGTTAATGTCGAAGCTGGGCCAACTACTGATCAGATAATAGCAGTATTTGGGAGATGCGAAAGGTGGTCTCCGGATGATCGCAAGCGGCTCGTGTACCTTGCCATCTTGGCTGGATACATTGAAGGGAGGAAGTTTTCAACCCCTACACGGGTTATTCTGGCTAGGCTAGTGATGGATCTAGAACGGTTTGAGAATTAGCCATGGGGGAGATTCGCGTTTAAGGTGTTGATGGACTCTGTGAAGGGCAAAGATATATCTGGTTGTTACACCATTGATGAGTTTGTACAAGCTCTTCAGGTCTGGGTGTACACAGCTCTGCTGGAACTGGGTGCTAATTATGGTCATCCCATACCAAACAGACCGTTTCCACTGATACTAGCTTACAAGGATGGCAAAGGACGAAGATGGTTTAAAGATGCCATTGAAATACAGGTATTTACTTTACTTCAGAAGCAGACAACTTATGATTAAGTCGTCTGGAAAGTCTTCTAACTGGACGACTTAGTAGACGACTTAAAAATAAGTCGTCTGAAAAGTCTCCCAGCTGGATGACTTAGTAGATGACTTATCATTAAGTTTTCCGAGAAGACTACCCAGACGACTTAATAATAAGTAGTCTGCTAAGTCATCCAGCTGAAAGACTTTTCATACGACTTATTTTTAAGTCGCCTGCTAAGTCGTCCAGTTGGACGACTTTCCAAACGACTTAATCATAAGTTTTTCTGCAAATTCTTTTCTTTCCATCTTTCTTAATCCGTCAAATATCTAAGTTTATATCTTCTCTTTACTGCAGACTTATGAACTTTGTTGAGAAGGGCATTGCTGAAATGTTTCCAAAATGGGACTCTGATGCTAACGATCCGGCCGCGGAGAACATAATTAAACTCATGTACATAAAGAAACCATGGAAGTGGACCATGGATTGCTGGGAAGTCACCGGTACTTGGGTCAATACAGGCCGGTAGCAAAGAAAGGGAAGAAAGCGATAGTTCTGGTGAAGGAAGAGAGTCCAAGACCTCTTAAGAAAACTCGTACAGAGCGTAAAGAAGAGCTACCTGCAGAGGTAGATGAAGAGGAAGAGCCAGAGGAAGATGTAGATGAAGGTGCAGATGAAGAGGCTGAGGTGAGTCTGAATGTTGGTGGGCTGGCCAAAGAGGATATTGAAAGAATCGTGAAGGATTCTTTGAAAGATTCTTTGAAGGATGTACTCAATGTCGTGAGTCAAGGGTTTGGGACGTGCCTTACGGAGATCAAGTATCTGTCTGAAAGGGTGGAAGCTGTAGAGAAGATGCTTGGAGTCACAACAAAAGGAAAAGGGGCATCATCTCAGAAATCTGAACCTCATACGCAAGAACCAAAAAGAGAAAGGGTCAACCTGAAATGGATCTTACTGGGGGGGGGGAATGTGAAAGTGTTAATGGGTTGAACACGAGAAAGAAGAGCTTGCCGAAGGGGGGTAAAGCAACAGATTTTTCCGCAGGTACTACTTCCTCGAAAGAGCTGAGTGTAGTTCCGAGCCAGAAAAAACCTCCAGAATGGACTTAGTTGAAAGTCGTCTGGATATAATACTTACGGGGTTAGAAAGGTAAAAAAAATCGGTTTATTTGTTCACAAGGGACTGGTTGTAATTTTAATAGCTTGTTAGGTTACTTTTGCATTTGATTCATGTTTGGGTTTACTTTTGCATTTGAAACCAAGTTTTGAGTTATATTTGGCAAATTTTCCTATATAATTTATATTTTGGGTAAATAAAATTTTGAATAAAAATTTCTAGACCATCTAAATTATGTATTAAGTCAGACTTGAGCGTTCAGGTATCCATTAGAATACGGGTTAGGTATTCTAAATTTTAGTTCTAATTACATTACATCGTAGGTCTCATTATGGAAAAATTATAAATACGGGTTGGGGTGGATATAACACATTGATTTTGGTTCTAATTTGTATCACATCCTAAAACCATACAATAATCATATATATAAAATGCGGTTTATACTGGTTTGCTCTAGATATTTCCAAAGTTCAATCCAAAATTTTTAAGCAAAACATAAGAAATAAATATTTATTTACATGGAATCAAGATATTTAAGGTACCTTTTAATTTTAAAATATTTATTTCTAGATATCACCCGAAAATAAATATAGAATTAAATATTTGAATTATATATTTCTGTTTTAAAATATTTATATTTGTGATCAATTTAATCATTCAGATCGGTTTTTCAAAAATTTACAAGTTTTTTCGGGTTTTCGATTTGGATTGGCTAATAAGAATTCGGATTTTGATATATTTTGTACCACTAACACCCTACAAGACCCCTTATGTTTTTTTTATATATTTTAGACCGGATATGGATAAGATTTTTGTAGTTTGGCTTCGGTTTGGATTTCGGATTATAGGTTTTATATTCAAACATACTTTCAATAAAAGGAAAAAACTATATAATATTTTCACCAAAAATTTATCCCACGTTTTCAAAGCACGGATCAAAATTTAGTCAATACTATTAAAACGAAAACAATTTTTTCTACTTGCAAGTAATTTATGTTTAACCATTACATTTATTTAATTTTATGTTATGTTACATACAACAAACTTATTTATTATTAAATAATCACATAGTATTAATATATTATTTAAGTATATTCAAAATAAGATATCAAAAAGATATTTCTAACTACTTTTTAAAATTACATTTGACAATATATTTAATATATTTTTATTTTAAAAATAATTTTTAATATTATTTTAATAATAAAAAGGTAAAATAATATTAGTTATTATATTAACTCATTTTTTATTTATAGAATAAAAATAAATTTCTATAATATTTATATATAAATATTTCATATTTTTAATTAAAAATTACACAAAATAATAATTATAAAATAACTTAATCTATTTTTATAAATTATAAACTAAATGAACACAGAATAACATATATTTATAACACAGTTGGTGACAGAGATGGTGAGTATCTGTCTGAGGTCTCGACGTAGATCTCCAGTAATATTTTTTTTTTTGAATGAAAAAGTCTCCAGTAATTGGAGAGCTCTAAAAGTCAGCATACTCTTTGTAGAGATCAAAACCATCCAAATAATCAACACAGCTTATATAGTCATAATGAATTTTGCTGTATTTTGTAGTCAGAATCTTCAAAATATTTACCCATCCACGAACTTTATATAATCTCCCGTTACTGTTATCTGTGACAGCCAAAAACTAATAGGTCAAGCACTGAAGTCTTTGCGTTAGGTGAAGCTACGAATTTTCGCCTGGGAAAAATAAGATTTTTCTACATCCTCTCCCCACCATAAATCGACTTAACGTCTCAAAAACTCAAACACATACTCAAAAAAAAAAAAAAAAAAGACTAGAGAAAAAAAGAGAGAGCTAGAGAGCCATGTTCGTGAAGCTCATCACCATCATCTTCTTCTTCGTCAGTCTACTCTCTCAACTCCAAAAATTCTCTTCCCAGTCTCTCTATAACTTCACTTACAATGGCTTCTATCCTCCACTGACTGCTAACATAACCCTCCAAGGGATCGCCACCGTCACACCCACCGGTCTATTAAAGCTAACCAATTCAACGAAGGATGAAACGGGTCACGCGTTCTATAACCAACCACTTCGGTTCAAAGACTCTCCAAACGGCCCCGTCTCTTCCTTCTCCACAACGTTTGTTTTCGCCATAGACGCTGAGTTCAAGACACTTAGCGGCCACGGCTTTGCCTTTGTTGTGGCTCCTATCTTCGTCCTCCCGGAATTCAATTCCAGTTCCGGACTCCTTGGGCTCTCCAACCCCAATATCGCACATAATGAAACATTTCATATATTCGGTGTTGAATTAAAAACTATTCAGAATACCGGATACACTGATATGAATGATAACACCATCGATATCGATGTGAATGGCTTGTATCCAGTGAAAAGTTCACGTGCGGGGTACTGGGACGAGACAGGTCAGTTTAAAAACCTTACTTTGAACAGTGGTGGGCGGATGCAGGTTTGGGTTGATTATGATGGTGTTACCAATCAGATCAATGTAACAATGGCTCCTTTTAACCATGACAAACCTATAAAACCTCTTGTCTCTACTGTCTGGGATCTAGCCCCGGTTCTTTTGCAAGATATGTTCGTAGGTTTCTCGTCTTCATCCAGTTCGCTTCGATCGGAACATGTTATCCTTGGGTGGAGTTTCCAGCTGAAGGGGAAGGCTCCCCCGTTAGCCTTACAAAGACTTCCAAAATTTCTAGAGTCGCAGTACAAGACAAGAGGAATCTCACCGTTTACGTCCGTTTTTATTTCAGTGTCAGTTCCCCTTATGTTTATCGCTTCGCTCATCTTCCTTGTGTGCTTCATATTAAGGGGGAGGAGAAAGTTTTCGGAGAAGCTGGAAGATTGGGAAACAGAATTCAGGAAGAACCGACTGAAGTTCAAAGACTTGTACTATGCCACCAGAGGATTCAATAACCTTCTCGGATCTGGCGGGTTTGGAAGCGTTTACAAAGGTGTCATGAAAAAGAAAGAGATCGCCGTGAAAAGAGTGTCGAACGAATCCCGACAAGGGTTGAAAGAGTTTGTGTCTGAGATCGTGACTATTGGTCGGATGAGTCACCGGAACTTAGTTCCTCTCGTAGGTTATTGCCGCCGGAAAAAGGAGCTTCTTCTGGTGTATGCACTACAAGAAAACACCGCAATTCTGACGGCAATTCCGAGGGAAAATGTATTCCTCGGAAATTTCCGAGGAAATTCCGAGGAAATTCCGAGGAAACACAAATTTAAGGTTTCCTCGGAATTTCCTCGGAATATACCGATGGAATTCCGAGGAAACCCGGTTCCTCGGAAAAAACTGACGAAATTCCGAGGAAATTCCGGGGAAATTCTGAGGAAACCCAAATTTCGGATTT